TGTCCCCACGCTGGTTATCAGTGGGAGTAAAACATGTCCCCACACCGGAAGTCTGTGGGAGTAAAACATGTTCCCACACCAGTTATCAGTGGGAGTAAAACATGTCTCCACACCTGTATTCTGTGAGAGTAAAACATGTCTCTACATCAGTTATCAGTGAAAAATAGCCAGAAAAAAGTAGAAAACAGCACAAAATAGTCAAGCCACTTGAAGTAAAAAAAATCAGACAATGGCCCAGGCAGAGGCTCTATACCTAGCTCAAAAGTAAAAAGAAAAAAATAGTTTTGACTGGGGTTCCTCTATTATTTTATAAATAATGAAATAAAATTATCTGAGAAATACTTGGCAGACGGGATCTTACTGTCTCCCAAGTCCAATTGCTCCACATCTCAACAGTGCACATATGAGATTTAAAGAGGGAGAACAATAAAGAAAAAGGAAATAAAACTGATTTTCGAAGTACCACGTAGACTTTATATTCATGTTTTGCGCTTTTATTACAATAGCCATAAAAATAGCTACATGTGTCTAAAATACATATAAAACATGGGATGTCCTTCCACATATTCCTGTTGGGTACTACAGTAACATACAACTCCCACATTTTAGGCCTCCCAATTTGTCTCCATCCAGCTGACATATGTCTATTACATTACAAAACTGGCACTCTATGTACAGATTACAACACATCAACTGCTGGCCTTGTGATCAAATGGGAATGTCTCCACTAACTCATTTCGCAGTCTAGGAACACGGATTCATCAGGAGAATTGTTGAAGGGTTTTCCCCCCTTTTTTTTCCCGTTTACATCAAGATTTGAAAGAGGCCCTGTATACCACAAATTGAGTTTTATGGGTTGGTGACGTTGGAGGTAGGGAAATGAGTGTCATACAGGTAAGTATACTTTACTTATCGGGGAGAACAGAGTGGTGGGCGAACGAACGGAAGCTATGCGTGTGCAGCTGTGATAGTTAGCATAAATGTGAATCCGTCACTTTGCCCTGCATAGGCACAACGTAGGTTTAATGAGTTTTAGGTCCGTTAACTACCGGGGTCAGTAATAGCTGGCAAAGGACAAATCATTATGTACACTGTATGTACAATAAGAACACTTCAGGAAACATTTCAGCACAGGCTAAAAATTGGGCATTTTCTGGAGTTTTCTTAAAAAACAACAACATTTATTACATAGTGCTGACAATTTACGCGGCACTGTACATACAGTGCCTTGAAAAAGTATTCATACCCCTTGAAATTTTCCACATTTTGTCATTCATGTTACAACCAAAAACGTAAATGTATTTTTTACTGGGAGTTCAATTCATCAATTGAAAATGGAGAGTATGGCACAACTGCAAACCTACCAAGACATGGCCGTCCACCTAAACTGACAGGCTGGGTAAGGAGAGCATTAATCAGAGAAGCAGCCAAGAGGCTCATGGTAACTCTCGAGGAGCTGCAGAGATCCACAGCTCATGTGGGAGAATCTGTCCACAGGACAACTATTAGTCGTGCAATCCACAAATCTGCCCTTTATGGAAGAGTGGCAAGAAGAAAGCTATTGTTGAAGGAAAGCCATAAGAAGTCCTGTTTGAAGTTTGTGAGAAACCATGTGTGGGACACAGAAAACTTGTGGCAGAAGGTGCTCTGGTCAGATGATAACAAAATCGAACTTTTTGGCCTAAAAGAAAAAACGCTATGTGTGGCAGAAAACTAATACTGCACATCACCCTGAACTCACGATCCCCACTGTGAAATATGGTGGTGGCAGCATCTTGCTGTGGGGATGCTTTTCTTCAGCAGGGAAAGGGAAGCTGGTCAAAGTTGATGGGAAGATGGATGGAGCCAAATACAGGGCAATCTTAGAAGAAAAGCTGTTGGAGTCTGCAAAAGACTTGAGACTAAAGTGGAGGTTCACCTTCCAGCAGGACAACGACCCTAAACATACAGCCAGAGCTACAATGGAATGGTTTAGATCAAAGCATATTCATGTGTTAGAATGGCCCAGTCAAAGTCCAGACCTAAATCCAATGAAGAATTTGTGGCAAGACTTGAAAATTGCTGTTCACAGACGCTCTCCATCCAATCTGACAGAGCTTGAGCTATTTTGGAAAGAAGAATGGGCAAAAATGTCACTCTCTAGATGTGCAAAGCTGATAGAGACATCTCCAAATAGACTTGCAGCTGTAATTGCAGCGAAAGGTGGTTCTACAAAGTATTGACTAAGGGGGGGGGGCTGAATACAAATGCATGTCACGTTTTTATTTGTAAAAAAGGTTTAAAACCATTTATCATTCTCCTTCCACTTCACAATTTTGTGCCACTTTGTGTTGGTCTATCACATAAAATCCCAATAAAATAAATTTATGTTTTTGGTTGTAACATGACAAAATGTGGAAAATTTCAAGAGGTATTTATACTTTTTCAAGGCACTGTATATATTGTACACTCTCATCAGTCCCTAACCCTCAAGGGGCATACAATCTAAAGTCCCTAACTCCAACTTCTGTCAATCAAATCCAGTGATGAGGGGGGGGGGGGGTGGTCAGAGCCACCCTATCTGTGTCAACAGACGCAGACATGGAGGCTCGGGAGCGAGCCCGCATGAGTGCCCCCACTGATAGCGTCTTTCTATGGGAGCACTGGATAGTGGGGAGGAGACAGGAGTGCCTGTGGGGGAATTGGAGAAGAGGAGGATCAGGGCTGCTCTGTGCAAAATCATTGCACAGAGCAGGTAAGTATTACATGTTTATTATACATATATATATATATAAAAAAAAAAAAAAAAAAACTTAAGCTTTATTATCACTTTAAAGATTTCATAGTGTCTTCCAAAATACATAAAGCCTTCACACCAGGCATTGCTCTTAGTGATAACTTGTAACCTAAACCTTACCATAGACATTGCAATTTGATTGTACAATCTCATTTAGAACTTCCAGCAGAATGTATAGTGGTGGTAGTAATATAGGGAGCCTGTGCGGCCCCTGACATGTCCAGATGGCCACAAAATAGATTCATATATACATTTGCTACCAGGGGCGGACTGACCATTTGGCCTGAGGGCCCAGGGTCAGTAGAGGGCCCCATGAGATGCCCCTGTACCTTTTTCATAGGCTTTTTTGAGTTGGGCAAGGACACAGGGGCCCCATGATCCCCTATTGCACGGTGGCAACATGAGTTGTCAGTCCACCCCTGTTTGCTACTATTATTTGTTTGGTATTAATAAGATATTTAAATTAAAGCATTATATATTTATTATGTATTATTCATCTAGAATGCTGCTATTTTTTTTCTCCCCCAGCTCCTTTCCTGGCAAGTGACAAAGCAGCAGACTAAAGAATATGTAAACCCAAAATTTTATATTCCTGATATGTGCCTGCTATACATGTACTTGTATGAAAAATGATCCTGTTCTCTTTGTATTGCTTCCTTTGTATGCAATCCCTGGTGTTCCTGCCAGTCCCTCTGCTTTACCTAAAAAATGATCAAACTAAGCATAAGAGCACAGTGTGGTCAGTTCTCTAGCTGTGCTAGGAACACAGCCTGCTCTGCTCCAATGATCAGACTTGTCCTGACACTCCGCCCCCCCTTTCCTGCACAGCCATTCACTGGGCTGCAAGTATTCAATCCTCGGGTGTGTTGATGGGCAATTTTGATGTATTTAACATTTTTTAAAATGTAATTAACATCTGTTTCTGGCTTTTTTCCATTACATTTTATTCTTCATTCTGATTATGGTCAAGGCAAGCCAGGGGCTCCACACAGACCTAAGAGGTACATGAACTACATTATGTTTAATAAAACAACATAATTCCAATTTTCACAACAACAAAATAACAATAATTGATATACAATAAAAAATAATTTGGTTGCATGCTTGGCAGCACTTTTGGCAGTTTATACTACCTGCTTTAGTGACGGGTTAATTTGAACATACCCAGTTACATTGTATATACGAGTGGTGTTGCTTCCACTTGTTTTCCATTCACATTTAACTGTTGCAGAAAAAAATGCAGCTTTTTCTTCCTCTGGGCACAGCTCCATTTTAACCAATGTGTCTATAAACATTGTGGCTCTTAGATTTATACTTTAGATCTGTGTTGGGGGCAGAAAAAAAAATGTACCATACCTGTGTTTGTAGAGGTGCTTACTGGCATAATATATGTAAATACACAAATAAAATGCATTTAAATGCATATTAGAAGCTAGAATAAATTCATATTCTAGCCAAATGGTCTCAAAACTACATTCCGGGGGCTGGATACAGCCCTTTCCTTTTCTTTATCTGGCTCTTAGGGCACAATTTTTAACCAATGATGGGGCATACTATGGGGCACAATTCCCCCCACTAAAAACAACAATGGGGCATCATTCCTCCCACTGACACCAACAATGGGGTACCATACCTCCCACTAAAACCAACAATGGGGCATCATTCTTCCCACCAATACCAACAATGGGGTACTGTTCCCCCAACTCATACCAACAATGGGGAACTACTCCTCCAAATGATACCAACAATGGGGTACTATTCCTCCTACTAAAACCAACAATGGGGTACTGTCCTCCCACTGATACTAACAATGGGGCACTATTCCTCCCACTGATACCAACAATGGGGCACTATTCCTCCCACTGATACCACAATGGGGCACTACACTGCCACCAATGGGGCACTATTCTCCCACTGACCCACTGGGGCACCCCCCACTGCCACCAATGGGGCACTATTCTTCCCCCCCCAACAATGGGGCACCCCCACTGACCCCAACAATGGGGCACTATTCCCCCCACTGACCCCACCAATGGGGCACTATTCCCCCCACTGATACCAACAATGGGGCACTATTCCCCCCACAGATACCAACAATGGGGCACTATTCCTCCCACTGATACCAACAATGGGGCACTATTCCTCCCACTGCCACCAATGATGGGGCACTATTCTTCCCACTGACCCCAACAATGGGGCACTATTCCCCCCACTGACCCCAACAATGGGGCACTATTCCCCCCACTGACACCAACAATGGGGCACTATTCCCCCCACTGACCCCAACAATGGGGCACTATTCCTCTCACTAATACCAACAATGGGCCCCTCTCACTGACCTCAACAATGGGGCACTATTCCTCTCCTGACCCCAACAATGGGGCACTATTCCTCTCACTAATACCAACAATTGGGCACTATTCCTCTCACTGACCTCAACAATGGGGCACTATTCCCCCCACTGACCCCAACAATGGGGCACTATTCCTCTCACTAATACCAACAATTGGGCACTATTCCTCTCACTGACCTCAACAATGGGGCACTATTCCTCTCACTGACCCCAACAATGGGGCACTATTCCTCTCACTGACCCCAACAATGGGGCACTATTCCTCTCACTGACCCCAACAATGGGGCACTATTCCTCTCTCTACAACCAATGATGGGGCATTATTTGTCCCATTGACACCAACAATATGGCACTATTCTTCCCACTGACACCAACGATGGGACACGATTTCTCACATTGACACCAACAATGGACCATTATTGCTCCCACTGAAACCAACGATGGGGCACTATTCCTCCCACTGCCACCAATGATGGGGCACTATTCTTCCCACTGACCCCAACAATGGGGCACTATTCTTCCCACTGACCCCAACAATGGGGCACTATTCTTCCCACAGACACAAACAATAGGCACTATTCCTCCCACTGACACTAACAATGGGGGCATCATTCTTCCCACTGACACCAATGATGGGGCACTATTCCTCCTACTGACACCAATGATGAGAACTATTCCTCCCAATGGCACCAACAATGGGGCGCTATTCCTCCCCCTAATCTCAAAGATAGGGCATTGTTCACACTCACTGATGCCAGGACATTTTCTTCTCCCACTTACCATAGACCCTTCCTAAAGTCTGAAGGACAGTAAACTGGCCGTTTGTTTAGAAAGTGTGGAGACCCTGTTCTAGCAAATAGAATTAGTTTATGAACATATATTTCTAAAATCCGTAAGCCTGTAAAAAGGGCATAAATACATATTATAATGCAACAAATCAAGCTTTTTTTAAGCTGGATTTTTCTGCCAGCTCCTGGCAGAAAAATCCAGCATACATAGAAGTATTTAATTACCCCCATGTGCATGAGGCCAAGGGATGTTTAGAATGATCCTCTATACTGTCAATCTTCCTTCAAACATTCATTATTTTATTAGCCTGGGTTGTAAACCAGGCAATCAGCGGTCATCAAAATAAATACATAGTAAATGAGCGGCACAAGGTAATTGAATTTCTACATCTGTGTCTTTCCACAAATGGGCACACTTTAGATAACATATAATTTTATAGCACGTGTTCTCTTATCATGTAAATCTGCTTATTTGATGGCTTGCTAGACTATTTTTACTTTTTTTTTTTTTTTTTTTTTTTAATAATGAAAGTATTCCAACACTTTTAAACTAAACCTGTCATAATGGAAGTAAAAAAAAAGTGGCTGGGCTCCTATGGAAAATACTAGCTGCAGGGCAGCACACCTTAAAGCCTAGTCCCTGATGGACAGATTTCCAATCACGTCCTGTTAGGATGTGAGAAGAAATCTCCCAAATAGGCACACAAAGAGCAATAAAAACCTTGCATAAAGTCTAATGAGTGTGCCAAGCAATGTCCAAGAGTCCACAACTTGTATTGATAGAATTAGTGTATAGTAGGAAAACACAGAACATTCAACGCATTTCGGAAGTAAAATAAATCCCCTCACCTTCATCAGGGCTCTGGTACTCTAAGTAGTGAGACCCTTAGCATGGCATAATCACCAGGGTTGAGCAGCAAGGGAATGCTCACACAGATCTAATGGCATTTGCCAACCCCGGAGAAGGGGGGGGATTTGTTTTGCCCCCGAAATGTGACGACTGTTCTGTGTTCTTCTATTGCAAAATAATGTTATCATTAAACATTTTTGACTCTTGGACATAGTCTGGCATTCTCATTAGACTTTATACTTGGATTCCCAACTTTGGGTTGTCCCCCCTTTCCTAAGGGGTGTCCCTGTTTTGTGGAATACTGCTGAACCAAAAGGCAGTGTGCCCAATGACGAGCTAATTAATCTACTAAAAATCTGTATCCAACACTTTTACTTTTTTTTACGTTTGTTTAGCAATAAAGGCCTGACAGAGGCTTTAACTATTCCCCACCCTATCCAAAACAAAATAATCAGTTTTTGTTGGTGTTAAATAAAAGAAACAAACAAACAAAAACAAAAGCACAAGGGACAGTACTTACATTGAATTAGAAGTGTCCCTTGTGCTGGAGGCCACTCTCTTATATGAAAACTTCTGTCCTCTGTCCCCCCTTCCCCACAACCCCTGCAGTGGTAATATTCTAGTGCTGTGGGGGTCAATAAAAAGCCCCTGGGCCTGTCACAGGCATTCACCAAGACAGACAACCCTTTCCACTGCCCTCCTCCTTTCACAGAAACTGTGCTAAAGCTTCCAGCAATGAAAAGCACTCTATGAATAGAGGAGGACTTTTTTATTCATCCACCTGTCCTCCAATCACAGAGCGTTTTTCATTGATGGAAGCTTGAGTACAACTTCTAGTAATGTAAGAGGGGGTGGAAAGGGTGCATGGGCAGCACAGTGGCTAAATGGTTAGCACTTCTGCCTGGCAATACTAGGGTCGTTGGTTCGAATCCCAGATACGGCACCTCCTGCCTGGAGTTTGCATGTTCTCCCTGTGCCTGCGTGGGTTTCCTCCAGGTACTCCAGAGTTTCCTCCCACACTCCAAAGACAAGCTGGTAGGTTAAATGGATCCTGTCTAAATTGGCCCTTGTATATGAATGTGAGTACGGCACCTCCTGCCTGGAGTTTGCATGTTCTCCCTGTGCCTGCGTGGGTTTCCTCCAGGTACTCCAGAGTTTCCTCCCACACTCCAAAGACAAGCTGGTAGGTTAAATGGATCCTGTCTAAATTGGCCCTTGTATATGAATGTGAGTTAGGGACCTTAGATTGTACGCCCCTTGATGGTTAGGGACTGATGTGAATGTACAATATAGATGTAAAGCGCTGCGTAAATTGACGGCACTATATAAGTACCTGAAATAAATAAAAATATAGTCAAAACTCTTGACGAGTCCCTGTGACAGGTCTAGCGGCCCATATTAAGCCCTGCGGCACTGGACGATAACCATGGAAAGGGTATGGGGAGGAAAGAGGACAGAAGATTTCAACTAACTGAGCAGCCACCAGCACAAGGGACACTTTGCATTGAATGTAAGTACTGTACCTTGCGCTGATTTTAAAAAACAACAACTACCGTATTTGCCGGCGTATAAGACGACTTTTTACCCCTTAAAAATCTTCTCAAAAGTCGGGGGTCGTCTTATACGCCGGTATACGGCATACTGACACTTTTTAGGGGGGCGGCGCGTTGCCGCCGCCGCCCCCCCCCCCCCCCTTCCCTTCCCCCAATGGAAGGGACACTAAGTACAGGGGTGGGCAGCGGCTGTTTCTTACCTGGTTCCGGTCCCACGACGATCCGGTCCAGGAAGCGCGGCTGCGCCTTCAGTTCAGTCACTGGATGTTCGTGCGGCTGCTCGGCTCCGCCTCCTCACCAGTGATTGGCCGCCAGAACTGTAGCTCAGGAAAGGCACACAGGCGGCCAATCACCGGCGAGGGGGTGGAGCCGAGCGGCCCCGCGAAAATCGAGTGCAGGACCAGCAGGTAAGTGGTCAGTGTAGAGGTGCTGCTGCAACCACATATGCTGGCTGCAGCAGCACCATACGAGAACAGGGTCAGCAAGTGTCAGTGGGAGGAATAGTGCCCCATCATTGGTGTCACTGATACCAATGATGGAGCACTATTCCTCCCACTGATACCAACGATGGGGCACTATTCCTCCCACTGACACCAACGATGGGGCACTATTCCTCCCACTGACACCAACGATGGGGCACTATTCCTCCCCCCCACTGACACCAATGATGGGGCACTATTCCTCCCACTGACACCAACGATGGGGCACTATTCCTCCCCCCCACTGACACCAATGATGGGGCACTATTCCTCCCCCCCACTGACACCAACGATGGGGCACTATTCCTCCCCCCCACTGACATCAACGATGGGGCACTATCCCCCCCCCCCCCCCACTGACACCAATGATGGGACACCATTCCTCCCACTGACACCAATGTTGGGACACCATTCCTCCCACTGACACCAATGATGGGGCACTATTCCCCCCACTGATACCAATGATGGGGCACTATTCCCCCCACTGATACTAATGATGGGGCACTATTCCTGTCACTAATGCCAATGATGGGGCACTATTCCTCCCACTGATACCAATGATGGGGCACTATTCCTGCCACTGATACCAATGATGGGGCACTATTCCTCCCCACTGATACCAATGATGGGGCACTATTCCTCCCACTGATACCAATGATGGGGCACTATTCCTCCCACTAATACCAATGATGGGGCACTATTCCTCCCACTGATACCAATGATGGGGCACTATTCCTCCCACTGATACCAATCATGGGGCACTATTCCTCCCACTGATACCAATGATGGGGCACTATTCCTCCCACTGGTACCAATGATGGGGCACTATTCCTCCCACTGGTGTGCATTGGAAGAGGGGTAGTCTTATACGGCGAGTATAGCTCAAACACTAAATTTTAGCAGGAAAAGTAGGGGGGTCGTCTTATACGCCCAGTCGTCTTATACGCCGGCAAATACGGTAAATTTAGGCTTTAAAGAGATGCAATAAAATGCAAAGTGTACCTTCTTCAATCATGAGGACAATACGCCTCTTATTGCTGGCATTACAATAGAACAATACAAAACCTTTTTACAGGCAGTTTTTCTTTAAAGAACAATTCAAATGCAATTAATAAGCAGGATGTTGTATTCAAAGGAGGAAAGTAAACAGAACCAATTAACACTTTCACCTCATTTCCTGGCAATGGCAGAGCAGCCAATTTCCAGCTCAGCATCTAACAGCTTTGATAACGATGTGTGTGCCTACCTCCCGCCATCACATGCCCTATCCACACCTGTGGTCAGACTGACCTTGAAACAACACGCATACCTTTGTGCATTTACAGACACGAACAATGGTCAACAGCAGGAAAAAAAAAAAAGTACTAAACAAAATGTTGATTGTGCAAAATATTGATTTGGCAACAAAAAAAAGTGGGCTTTAACACTCAGACACCGCATATACTGTACAAGCCCATGGCAGCATAAGGTTGTGTGCTGAGAGCATGTTTACTGCACGCTCCCACCACACTGCCCGAGCTGTCAATGACAGCTCCCAATCAAAGCTTGGAAACTTGTGGGATGCGTTCCTTATCATGTGACCATTGCAAGAGCCGATCAAAGCAATCACATGATACAGACATTGGCCTATCTCCTGAGCATCAAATTCCCCTTAAAGGGCTGCTGGGAGGCAGTGGTAAAAGGGATTAAAATGTAAAAAAAAAAATAAAAAAATAAACATTCAGTACTTTGCATGGTTGGTTGTTTAAAAAGTTTAAGCAGAGAAAAATGGGTTTATTCTTCCAGATCTATTTTATTTCTTGATTATAGATATTTACAGTATATAGCGCCGAGAACTTACCCAGCATTTATTGTACATTCACAATAGTCTAGTGTGCTCCTCACTTCCTCAGCTGCACTGAAATCTCATGCCCTGCTCAGTTCTCAATGTCAACTACACCCTCATCTCTATGTAATGGAGAAGAGAAAGGGGAGGTGGTGTGTAGTCTTGTACTAGGGTGACAAAACTACTCTTCTATTAACACAATACAGCAGCCTCTCTCAACCGTATTACCCCAGAGGAACCCTTGAAATCATTTTTAGGTCTCAGGGAACCTCTGTTAAAATCA